TTACTGTGTAGGAGGACTATTACTGTAAAGGGGGACTGTGACAATAGTGGGGGACTATTACTGTGTAGGGGGACTATTACTGTAGAGGGGGACTGTGACAATAGAGGGGGACTATTGCTGTAGAGGGGGGACTATTACTGTGTAGGGGGACTATTACTGTAGAGAGGACTGTGACAATAGAGGGGGACTATTACTGTAGAGGAGGACTGCGACACTAGAAGGGGACTATTACTGTAGAGGGAGACTGTGACAACACAGGGGGACTATTACTGTGGAGGGGGGACTATACAATAGGGACAACTCCACGGCCCAGGTCTGCTGGCATCTGGAGAGGTGGGGTAACGGGGTTTCTTATGGAGAGGAGTAAACTGTCCCGCAGGCGTGGGTGGGACAGAGGGTGGCCTGCCTGGCCCGTGGAGCAGAGGGGCCCACCGATTCTGGGGCGCCCCAAGGAGGCTCTGCTGGCCGGGTCAGTCCTGGGGAGGAGAGGGCGCTGTGGTGACCTGCACCTGCTCTGAGCGATCGCGGGAGCCGCTCACTCACGTTGTGGCTTGTGGGGTTCAGCTCACGGTTCCTGAGCCAGGAGGGACTGGGGTCCGCGTGGCCTCGTCGGTGGGCGGGGGGCTTCGCGATCTTATCTGAGTCTCTCCGGGGAGGGTCCTGGCGGGAAGCTGCGTCCCGGACACAGACGTGGGAGGGTGTGCTGACCCCTCAGGTGCCCTTCACGTGGTCAAGGGGCCATCGTCCCGCCTTGCAGTCAGGGAGACAGAGGCGCGGGCTGGGGCGTGATCTCAGGGTCCTGGGGCCGGTGCAGACTGGGGAGGGGCTTCTGAACCACGGTGTCGTCGGTGCCGTGGGGGTCCAGCTCTGCTCCCTCCTCGGGTTGACCCCTTGCACTCGGTGATTGGGGTTCAGGAAGGGGCCGTGCCCCACGCTGGGGTGGCCATCCGAGGTCCCGCCGTGGTCAGCGCACCGGCCTGTTTACCCCCCGAGGACCCTCAGCCCCTGCAGGAGGGAAGAGGCATGCGGACGGCCCATGGCTGCCCCTCCATCCGCTGGACGTGTCCGGGCATCGCTGCCCAGTGATGGGACAGAACGGCAGAACCCCACAGGCCGGGGCCTCGGGTCACCTGTGCGAATCAGAAGGGACGGCTTTCTGCCGGGGCCTCAGGAGCGGTCGATCTTCTCACAGAAGGAGCCTGCAGTCATTCCCGGGGCCCAGGAGCCCCGATGCTGACAGCTGGTGGGCTTGGGCCTGGGGTCCCTGGAGGCTTAGGGTCCAAGGGGGGAAGTACTGTTGGAGGATGTAATTCAGGACAGACCTCGGCCACCCCAGAACGCCTCCACAGGCAGGAGAGAAAGACCTCGGTTTCACTATTGAACAAGGCGGGGAACAGAATGTGATGTGCGTCACAGGCAGCAGCTATGAGATGCAGAGGCAGAAGGACCTTACCTTTAGTGTAGCTAAACAGAAACAGCCACTCCACCCACGTTCTGAGATAAACAGTCCCTGATTTCCCGTATCTTTATGATGACGGGGGTTTGCAGCTTGGAGCCAGGCCCCCTCCTCCCAGGAGACAGGCGTTTCCTTCGTTGACTGCATTTCAAGACGCTCCCGGGTCCTGGAGGAAGCATGTGTGAGCTGTGGAACGGTCCAGAGCCCTATTTAGCCATTAGAAAGATTTAGACACACCTCAAAGAGACGGAGAAAGGACTCACGAGTTTTCTCAAATAAATGCTCCTGAGAAAAGGGAAGGGGGAGGATTCAGCCTCGTGGTCTGAACCTGGATCTGCCCTTAATCTGCTAAGTACGAGCCCAGGATGGGGGCTGAGGGCCGGCCGGCCGACGTTCCCACACCCGTTTTGCCATCTCATCCGCACGTTGACGGAAGGTTTCTGTTCTGTCTCAGACGAGGCCCCGGGAACTCTTGAACTCAGTTAAGGGTGAGAACTGCAGAGCGAGGGGCAAATAGTGGAATGCTTTCCAGCACAACCCCCTTCTGAACCGCCACCAACAACGGCCCTGTCACGGCTGGTTACCAGGTGTGCATGCTGGAGGCCGCGGGCAGGTGGGGGCCCGAGGAGGCCGCGGGCAGGTGGGGGCCCCGAGGAGGCCGCGGGCAGGTGGGGGCCCCGAGGAGGCCGCGGGCAGGTGGGGGCCCGAGGAGGCCGCGGGCAGGTACCGGGACAGGGGCCGTTCCTTCCTCCCCGAGCTCGAATTTCAGCCGGGTGTCCCCAGGGAACGAGAACGCTGTGGACGGAGACATCCGTGCGCCCGTGGTGGGGGCGTGCTTCAACGTAGGGGCTCGCGGGGTGTTTCCGGGGTGAGGTCTGGTCATTCGCTGGACGGACACGTGCTGAGCGTGGAGAAGTGCGCGTGGGGCGAGCTCCCCGTGGGGGCCGCCCCAGAAGTCCTCTGTGGAGGACGTGGGGTCCCTGTGTGATGGCCCGCTGGGTCACCCACTCGTCCCTTCCTCCCTGCATTCGGGTGTGAGTGACACTGAGGTCCCTCGAGTGACCCCGCTCCCCCAGGGTGATGGGTGCCCTGCACATAAACGAGATGGAACGGCTCCCGTGTGTGCTGCGTGGCTGAGCCTGGCCCCAGACCCCCTGGACGCTGGCTGCATGAACGTCACTCACCCCCCAGGCTGTGTGGGGTCCCATGATCACTCCGGGAGGGACATTGATGAGACGGAGCGTGAGCTGACAGAGGGCCGCGGGACGGACTGAGGGGAGAAGGAGGTCAGAGTGCTGGTTGACGATCTCGGGGACTCTCATGGATGGGGGAGAGGATTGGTCTGTGTTGCTGCTGAGGCAGAACGAGACCCGAGAAGGTTGGCTGTTGGTGTACTCGGCACAGGGTAGGTGAGGAAAACCTTTTCCTCTACACTCTTAGGTTCTGCACCAGGGATCTGCAAATTGAACTGACAAATGACAGATTAAGAGAAGAAAAACATTTATTATGTCGGAATACAGATGCCTTCACAAAAAAGAATTGGAGACCCAAAGAGATAGTTAGACTTAAGGGCTTATATGCCATTTTAACAAAGGGTGGTAAGTGTGGAAAAGTGACAAGACAAAGGAAAAGGGTTTTGAGCTTCTAGGGGCAGTAAATTGTGAGAAGGTAAAGATCTGGGGCAAATTAACGGAAGATGAGGGTTATTTAGTGGGGTTTGTTAGGCAGACTCAAGTGGTGTCTGCTCGGGTGATCAGATTCCTTCTCCCCTTCCTGGTACAGGAGAGGGGGCAGAAATGCTCACAAAGGGAAATTTATGCCTGTTCTCAGGCAGACGGGGGAGGGCAGAGTTTTTGTTTCTGCTTCTTCTCAATTGCTTTCAGCTCAAAATAATCCTTATGCCAAATGGCGTATTTTGGGGTGACAAGTTCTGATCCCCCTCAAAAGGGCATCTAACAGCTAGAGATGGTGCCAGGGGACGGGCCACCTCCAGACTAGACGGACGGGTCCAGAATGTCGGGGTGAGGGCCCGCAGGCTGTGGGGTTCCCATGGGCCCCGGTTCTGAGCGTCTCACAGGCTGTAGCTCATGGAACCTGTCCTACAACCCTACAAGATGGGCACTATTACATCCCATTTGACGGGTGAGAAACTGAGGCACAGACGGTGGGTAGCTTGTCCAGGGTGGCTCGTGAGTGGGGGAGCTCGGAGGCACACCCAGCTCTTCTCCACTTCTCTACGGAGGGTGGCGTCTGTGTGTGTCAGCTCCGGCTGCCCTAACAAACGCTGCCTACGGGGCGGCTTAGACAACAGAAATTTATCTCTCCCCGTCCTGGAGGCTGGACTCTGAGACCCAGGTGTCACAGGGCTGGTTCCTCCTGAGGCCTCTCTCCTTGACGTGTAGACGCCGTCTTCTCCCCGTGTCCTCACGTGGTCGTCCCTCTGTGCGTGTCTGTGTGCTCATCTCCTCTTCTCATAAGGACACCAGTCCTGTTGGATCAGGACCTACCCCAGTGACCTCATTTTACCTTCATCACCTCTTTAGACCCATCTCCACATACAGCCCCATCCTGAGGTCCTGGGGTCGGGGCTCCAACATGTGGATTGGGGGACACAGTTCAGGCCCCAACGCCGTCCCCTGGGCGGAGGGGGTGGGTCCAGGAGGCCAGGCCTGGTGGACAGTGAGTGGCCTTCAGCACCAGGTGGACGTGGGGTCAGGTCCTCCCCTGCACCCCCGGGACCACGTGGATGCATCCCCCGGCCTCCCTTCCCTCACGAGTGTGCTCAGCGCACATGCCCACCTCGTCCACTTATCCTGAGACGAGAGTAACTCCCACCCCGCGGCGTCTCCGGGGCGAACGCGGCCGATGCTCAGAAGGCCCATAACACGCCCCCGTCCTGTGCAGCCCTGGAGGGGCGCTTCCAGCCCTTCCAAGGGGCCGTGTGCCTAGAAGAAGCCCAAGGAGGGAGACGCTGTCGGAGGTCTCGAGCTGTAAACCAGACGGGATTCAGACTGAGTGACCGTCCCAGCAGAAGGTCGTCGTGGGTCACTGCAGGTGGTTCTAGGTGGTGCTAGGTGGTTCTAGGTGGTGCTAGGTGGTTGTAGGTTGTTGAGACCCATAACCCGTCTGGCAGCCTCGTTTGCACACTCGGAAGGGGGGATTTGACAAGGAAACCGGCCCCCCCACACTCCTTCCCCGGGACTAAGCCTGGTGGCTCTTTCTTCTCAAGGCCAGGACCCCTGTGCCACCAGAAGAGCGTTTTCTGGGTGCCCTGTTTTCTTTTTTTTTTTTTTAAATTTTATTTATTTTATTTTTCCCCCCAAAGCCCCAGTGGATAGTTGTGTGTCGTAGCTGCACATCCCTCTAGTTGCTGTATGTGGGACTCAGCCTCAGGATGAACGGAGAAGTGGTGCCTCGATGCGCACCCGGGATCCGAACCCGGGCCACCAGCATCGCAGCGCGCGCACTTAACCACCAAGCCACAGGGCCGGCCCCTGGGCGCCCTGTTTTCAACTGCGTCAAACCTCCTTTCCTCCCCCAGGTCGGTGGCGCGGGTTCCCCTCGATGGGCGGGCAGGTAAGCGCGTCCGGCGGCGTCCAGAGCCTGCCCCGCAGCATGAACATGAACGCCAATGCAGACTGGATGTCGGCGCTGTGCCCCCGGCTGTGGGACGTGCCCGTCCACCACCTCTCCATCCCGGGTGAGCGCCTCTGCGTCCCCCGGGGATGCGGCTGCGGGGGGTCTGGGTGTGGGCCGTGTGGACCCCACGAACCACACGCGTGTGCACACATAGGTACACACATGCACACACACACACACACACACACACACACAGGCGAGCATCTCTCCTCCGTCTGCTTCATCCTGAGATGGCCCGGAAGGCCCACGGTGCACCCAGGGGAGCGTGGCCTCGGGGAGACGTGAGGGTGTGGGGGACTCGGGCTGACGCTCCCCTCAGCCCGTCCGTCCCTCCTTCTGGGGAGCCCCTGGGAACGTCGGGCCTTCATCCCTCTCCTGGCCAAGGCCCCCAGGCCCCCAGGCCCTGGTGGGACGCGGGTCCACAGACCCCAGCCCCAAGTGTGGCCGGCGGTGGTTGGGGCTGGGCCCTCGGCTGACCCAGCGGAGGAAAGCGGGTCGATGGACGGGAGGGAGCCGTGTGGACAGGCCCCGTCCTCCCTGCTCCTGCCCTGCTCAGCCCGGGGGCTGGTCCCAAGAGGCGCCTGGACCACGAGAGGGAGGGAGGAAAGGAATCACGCTCTCAAATAAGTTTTTCAAGGTCTGGTTGAGGAAGAATTTACACACACCTGCTCACTCTCTGTGTTTTACACTTTTATTGAGATACAATTCACATACTTACAGTTCACCCATTTACGGCGAAAATTCAGTGGCTTCTGTTCACAGTGCTGTGCAACCACCAGTTCTGTTGGGTTCCAGAACATTCTCATTCCCCCAAAGGGAGACCCTGTACCCATTAAATAATAATCCCCCTCCCCAGCCCCTGGCACCACTAATCCACTTTCTGTCCGTGGATTTGCCTCTTCTGGACATTTCATGTAAATAGAATCACACACTATGTGGCCTCCTGTGTCTGCTTCTCTCACTGAGAATCTTGTGTACAAGGTCCATCCAGGTTGTAGCTGTGTCAGTGCTTCACTCCTGTTCATGGCTGAGTAATATTCCACTGCACCGATGGACCACATTCTGTCTGTCTCTTCATCTATGGATGGATACTTGGGTTGTTTCCAGCTTTTCACTATTCTGATTGATGCTTCAAATATTTGTCTGAACAGCTGTTTTCCTTGTAAACTCTGCAAACTCTTTTAGCAAACGTTTATGAGCACTTTTTGAAACAGATGATGCAAGAGAAAGATACAGACTGAAAACTGGGTGGCCCATCTCTGCTTGGGAACCCCGTTCCTGCCACCGGGCCCGAGGTCCCTCCAAGGACGTTCTGTGCACAGAGAACAAACAACATACATATAAAGCTCCCAGAATAATTCAGACAGTGTGCTGATGATTCTGTAGATCAATGGATCACAACATTAAATTCAAAAATGGGTACAATACTGAGAATTTAAAGTATTGAAAGGAGGCACCGCCCATCAGTGAACAAATAGCCCACCCAACGGTGAAGAAGCGACAGGTGGCTATTAACGTGGAGGGGGGATCAGGTGGGACCCCGTCTCATATTTGCACCCAAGTGTATTACAGAATGTTTAAAGATTTAAGGGAAACATAAAGCCACAAAGTTCTGCTGGAAGACACAGGTAAATATTACCTACACATTAGCCTCTCTAAGGAGAACACCAAGTGCAAAAGCTACGAAGGAAAAGATGGATAGACGTGAGCACGTAAAAAAAATGTAAATTTTCCCTCACTAAGAAACTTAAACGAAAGTTCATGACAAATAGCCCGTAACAGACGCTGTGGGGCATCCCCGTGGTTGGCTGAATAATGTCCTAAAGACGTCCCCACGACGGGCACGTCCTCGTCCCCCAGAACCTGTTGATACGCCACCTCACGTGGCAAACGGGGGTGTGCAGGTGTCGGGCAAGGGTCTGGAGACGGGAGGTTTTCTTGGCTTATCTGGGGGGGACGGTGTAACCTCAAGGGTCCGTGTAAGAGGGAGGCGGGGGGTCAGAGAGGAGGGACAAGGAAGAAGCTGTGCTGCTGGCTTTGCAGACGCCAGGTGCCCAGGAAGCTGGAGAAGGCAGGGAACACGTTCTCCTCAGGCCCTCCGCAAGGAACCAGCCCCGTGGCACTTAGACTTTGCACCCGTGTCAGGTTTCTGGCCTCCAGAACTGTGGGGTAATGCATCTCTGCTGTTTGAAGCAGCGCAGTTTGTGATCCTTTGTTACAGTGGCCCCAGGACCCTTGCACGGCCACCCAGATGGTGCAACCTTCATAGCTGAGTCCCACACCCTCCCTGGGGGCCACCCGCATCCCCGAGGGGACGGAGAGGATGGAGCCCCCAGGGATGGGCGCCTCCCTCTGCCCGTGCTCCCCTCATCTCCCAGAGCAATCCCCACCCACGCCCTGCGTGCTGATCTCGTCCCAGGAAACCCGGGCCATGAGGAACCTGAAAACCACATCCACACGCACGTCACACACGGCAGACCAGGGCCACTGCGTCAGCACAGAGGGTGCTTAGGAAACCCCCACAGGCACGCGCTCCCCAACGGGAAACGGCCCCGGGGGGACGGGTGATTCTCAGACGAGAAATCCTAAGGACTCGGAAATCGTGAGAAATGGCCGAGCCGTGGAGCGAACTCAGTGAAGCAGCTGTCACGGGAGCATTGCAGCAGTCGTCGGGGGCTCCTGGTGCTGAGGACGAGGGTGGGGAGGCGGCCACAGGGTCCCTCTGCTAGGAGACCCAGGACACGGCCGAGGGCGGTGGGCTGCGAAGGCGGCTCCCTCCCGCCACCCGGCCACGGTCCAGGTCCCAGACTTAATCTGGAGGAAGCGATCGGTGGGCGTGCAAAACACACTCACACCAGATGTGCCCGGGGATGCTGCCCTCGAGGGGCAGGTGACCGTCCTCGTGTCCAGGGACCGTGGTCAGTTGCACAGGTGGATGACATCACGGAGTGGACACAGTCGTGAAAGCATCTCAGGCTCTGCATTTACTGGTTTACAAAATGCTGATAATATGTGTGAAATGGAAAAGCAGATAAAAAATTGCATGATTTGATCCTGTTTAAAACACGTATAAAAATATACATAATATGTATAAATGGATTATCCCCATGTATAGATGGACCCGTATAGATTACATTTAAAATATATAAATACACAAGATATATAAATGTGAATTACATAAAAACGTATATAATGACAAAGTCAATAGGGGATTTTAATTTTTTTAGTTGTGTATATTGTTCTCATTTTCCTGCAATTAACCCGTATTCTCAGTGTATGAGTGTCTTGGAGTGGCTATAAAAAAATACCAAAACTCAGTGTCTTAAAACCACAGGAATGCACCCTCCTCCAGTCCTGGAGACCAGACGTCTGAGATGAAGGGGTCGCAGGGCTGTGCTCCCTCCACAGGCTCCAGAGGAGGGTCCTTCCTGCCTCCTCCAGCTTCTGGGGCTCCAGGCGTCCCTGGGCTGGTGGCCGCCTCCCTCCATCTCTGCCTCCGTCTCCACGTGGCTTCTTCTCTGTGTCTATGTCTCCTCTTCTGTCTCTGATGAGGACACTGTCAGTGGATTTAGGACCACCCTCGTCCAGGACGCCCTCCTCTCCATCCTTCACTCAATCACACCTGCACAGACCCTGTTTCCACACGGGTCCCGTCCTGAGGATCCAGGTGGACGTGGGTTTCGGGGCCACCATCGCCCCCGTGCATGTGGCTCCGTGTGCAGCTCTGAGCCCAGGGGGAGGAGGGGGGCTAACGGGTGGACCCCCCCCGCTGTCTGCATGCAGGGAGCCACGACACGATGACCTACTGCCTGAACAAGAAATCCCCCATTTCCCACAGCCAGTCCTGGCTGCTGCAGCTTCTGGGCAAGCTCCTGCCGTGCGTCACCCAGCCCATGGTGCTGAAGTGGTCCGTCACCCAGGTGAGCTCTGCGGGCGTCTGGCGGGCTCCAGAACTGGCTCTTGACCTGCCCCCAGGGCCGCCCCCCTGGGCGGGTGCCCCATCCCCATTGTGGAAGTGGAATTGAACACAAACCTCCTCCACCCCAGAAAGCCTCCCACAGGTAGAAGAGAAAGAATACAGTTTCATTATTGAGCAAGGAGGGGACCAGAATGTGATTGCATCACAGGCAGCCATTGTGAGATGCAGAGGCAGGAAGACACTCACCTTTCAGGTAGCTAAGTGGAGACGCCCGCTCCCTCCAGGTTCTCAGATAAATAGCCACTGATTTCCTGTATCTTTATGATGGGGAGGGATTGCAGCCTGGAGCCAGGCCCTCTCCTCGCAGGAGACGGGCGTTTCCTTTGTTGACTGCATTTCAGAGATGCTCCCAGGTCCTGGAGGAAACATTCCTGAGCTGTGGAATGTTCCAGAGGCTTGCAGAATGCTGCGCATACATCTGAGACAGACGGAGAAAGAGCCTGCATTAACAGGTCTCCTCCCGTCGCTGCTCGAGGACAGGGAGTGTGGGCACCATCTCTGCCCGCACGTCCAGAGTGCGGCGTCTGCTTCAGTCCGGGTCTGCCTCGCGTCCTTCACCCTCAGCCCACCTCCCGCGTGGATGGGCAATTTAGGGACTGTGAGCAGCAGGAGGGGAGTCCTTGTGGGCCCAGGAGAGGAAGGCCTCGCGGAGCAGCTCAGGGTGGCCCAGGCCTCGGGGCGGGGCTGCCCCCTCGCTGTGGCCCTGTCACCGTGCACATGCAGGGGGCCGGGGAGAGGGGGCCGGCCGGGCCAGGTGGGGGCAGGAAGGCACACGGGGCCCAGGTGGGGAGCAGCTGACCGCAGGCCCCTGCTCTACCTCCGCTCGGGGCCTTGTGCTTCGGGTTTCTGCTCTGAGGGTCTCGCCGGCTCTCACCTGTGTCCTGGCTTTGTCCGGGTGGGAGTTTCATCTCCGGGGTGGGAATCCGTCTGGGCGTCTGCAGGGCGGAGAGCCGGCTCTGGAACGTTGGGGAGCCACATTCCCCACCTGTGTCACAGCAGTCACCCCAGGGTCTGGGGATGGGGGCGGGCCCACGGCGGTGTGGGGGGCTGCAATGCCGGGTCCTCGCTGCCGGGTCCTCGCTGCCGGATCCCTCAGTGCCGGTGCCTCAGTGCCAGGTCCCTCGGTGCCGGGTCCGCAGCGCCAGGTCCTCCTTGCCAGGTCCTCCATGCCAGGTCCTCCATGCCAGGTCCTCCGTGCCAGGGTTCCTCGGTGCCGGGTCCTCAGTGCCAGGTCCTCAGTGCCGGGTCCCTCAGTGCCGGGTCCCTCAGTGCCGGGTCTGCAGCGCCAGGTCCTCCATGCCAGGGTCCCTCGGTGCCAGGTCCTCAGTGCCGGGTCCTCGGTGCCGTGTCCTCCCTGCTGGGTCCTCAGTGTTGGGGTCCTGCTACGCTGTGAGCAACGTGGGGGTCTGCAGGGTGTTGGGGGAGGCTGCTGAGAAGGCTGGAAGTCTCAGGAACCCAGCTGAGGGAACAACCACAAGGGTCTGTACCTCCACGTCCAGCTGCCAGGTGATGATGGTGCGGCGTCTCATGCATCCACAGACTGGACAGTCATGTGGTCACTGACAGTGACTTTTCTGGGGAGTCCCCGATGTCCCCAGAAGGTGCTTCATACGGCGTGTCCACAGGAGGAGGGGACAGGGAGGAGGGGGCATCCTTCTAACTGTGGAACATGAACGCCTCCGGGAAACGGGCGGGAAGCAGCTGTAAGGTCGTGTCTGAGATCCTGGCAGCGGTCGGCCCCACGTCCTCAGGCCCGGGCAGGGGTCAGCCCGGGCGATAGGGTCCCACGTAAATTCACTGTCCTTTTTAGACTCTGCTCTGTTTCCGAATATTGAAAGAGTGAGCACCTATTTCACAGTCTGAAAATACACCGTAAATGCCTAAAGCACGTTTTAGGGGAAAGTTGTCCCTTTCCTAGGTCCCCAGCCCTCCACCCGGAACCTCAACCTCAGGAAGAGCACGGAGACTAAAGGCCTGGGCGCAGCGGCCTGGGTGCCCTGGGGTCCCCACGGGAGGGACGGCCCCTCCCCGGCCTCTGTGCCTCTCAGGGACGGCGCTGACCACGGGCCGACCCCTGCCCTGGCCCCTCCAGGGCAGCTCTGCGGGAGCCGCAGTGGGCCCGGCCTCTGGGCCCCGGCTCTGGGCTTCTGCCCGACGTGCACACAAGGGGCCTCTTTGTAGCCTCCCGAGCCTCAGTTTCCCCATTTGTCCGTTAATTCTTGGTGTTTCCACCATTGTTTCGTGTAGAGAGCACAGTACCACCTCTTTTCCTTTGCGATGTTAATGTTATGTGTGCTTTTTCTGTTACTATTTTGGATAGAGGGTACGGTACCGTCCTCTGTCTTTATATTAGCTTTGCTTTCTCCGCGATGATCTGTGGGGAGGGGTGGGGCCCTTCTCCCCGTTATTCTCTCTGGATTCCTCCTTGCCGTTCCCCTGCTGTTTGTGGGGTGGGGACATTCCCGGCTGTAGCCGACCCTCCCTGGCGCGTCCTGACCTCCCTGGGTCCAGGTGGGTGTCCGGGAGCCCGGCCCGGGGCTGCGGGGGCCCAGAGGGGGTTCCGCCAGGGAAGAGCGAGAGGTGGGGCCCTGCGGGGACGGCACCAATGTAGCCGCTTCCCAGGACAGAGCCTCCGCAGTGTGGTCTGTGGCTGCACGTGGCCAGTATCCCCTGGACGGCGGGTTCCCAAATTCAAGGTCCGGGTGGCTGCCCGACCCCCGGCGGCACCAGCAGCTGTTGATCCAACGCTGGACACAGTGGCCAACGCTGGACACGGTGGCCCGCGGGTGGGCAATGAGCCCACTTCCCAGCGCCCAGGGGGATATGAGCCAGGGTGGGAGCCGCCCGCCGTCCCCGGCAGAGCTGACCGAGCTCCGTCCACAGGGGCTGGCCGTCACGGAGCAGCTGGACGCGGGGGTGCGGTACCTGGACCTGCGGATCGCGCACATGCCCAAGGGCCCCGACAAGAACCTGCACTTCGTGCACTCCGTGTACACGACGGCGCTAGTGGAGGTACGCGGCGGGAGCGGGGGCGGGGGTGCGGCTGCGGAGGCCTCCACGCGGCGATGGGCTCCACGTCCATCCAGACGGGCTGTGCTGACCTCCGGCCATGGGTCATCCGGAGGTCTGGACCACGTGCGTCTGAGTTTGCACCCCGGCTCCTCCGTGGCCCCTGGGTTTGTGTACAAGTGGGTCCCCGTCTCCTCTTCCTGCCTCCCTGTGGGCGCTTCAGTGCCGCTCGACGGGTGTTTCCAGAGTCTGAATATGAAGTCACCGTCCTGCGTCACACCGGGCCCCCTCCCCTGGGCCCCACTGCAAGTCCCAGGACCGTCGGGTCTGCAGGTGCCGTCCCGGGAGCTCAGTTTGCAGGTCACCTGCTGGCCCCCGAGGCTCCCTGGTGCTTCCAGAATTCACACCCTGGCACACTCGGTGTCGTCTGTCTGGAGTGAGCATGCACATGTGCACACACACACGTGCACAGGCATATGCACGCACAAGTGCACACACACGCACGCTTCTCCCCCCAGAGCAATGGCAGGTGGGCCGGCTGTCTCTTCGGCAAGGCTGCGTTCCACGAGCTTTATGTGTTAATCTCTTGAGGACCTGACCCCCTGGGCCCGTGAGCTGTGCTTGGGGAAGGGCTGCGGGAGCGTCCTCATCGTCTCGGCTCTCACACGGAGCTCCTCTCCCCCCCGTCCAGGACACGCTCACGGAGATCTCGGAGTGGCTGGAGAGCCATCCCCGGGAGGTGGTCATCCTGGCGTGCAGGAACTTCGAGGGAATGACGGACGACCTGCACGAGTACCTGGTGGCCTGCATCAAGAACATCTTTGGGGACATGCTGTGTCCCCGAGGGGTGAGAGGGGTCACGGCCTCCCCACGTCTGTCCTCAGGGGGGCTGCGGGGGCGGGATGATCGCAAAGACTCCATCTGCTCTCTTGGGTCCGCTGTGGGAGACATTTATCTCTCCCCGTCCTGGAGGCTGGAGTCTGAGATCCAGGTGTCACAGGGCTGGTTCCTCCTGAGCCCTCTCTCCTTGGCGTGTAGACGCCGTCTTCTCCCCGTGTCCTCACGTGGTCGTCCCTCTGTGTGTGTCTGTGTCCTCATCTCCTCTTCTCATAAGGACACCAGTCTTATTGGATCAGGGCCCCCCAATGACCTCATTTTACCTGCATCATCTCTTTAAACACCCATCTCCACATACAGTCACGTTCTGAGGTCCTGGGGTCAGGACTCCAACATGTGAATTTGGGGGGACACAGTTCAGCCTGTAACACAACCTGTGGCTTAATTATGTAGGTAATTTTCTCCGTTTTCCTGGTGGCGGCTGGCGTGTGCCCACACATAGTCTCCAGGGGGCTCAAAAAGTTAAATTCGCATCCATTTTGGTCAAGGTCCCATCAATTCACTTCAAACCCTCTTGTGTTCAGGTTTCTCTGATTATATCCCATAAACCAGGAGAAGGGCCCCGTCCCTGAGTGGTTTGGGAGGAAACAGAGATGGCAGGGCTGCTGTGAGCCGGGGTCATCCAGTTACTGGGCCCAAGAGGGGACGTGGGAGACGCGGCCTGGGGATGCACCAGCCGACCCCAGTCTCCACGGGGACGTCACAGGGAGAGGAGGAGGGAGGGCACATGGGACATCAGCCTCAGAGGGACCACTCCACAGTCTTTTGACGTGTAAACCGTGCTAGAGATGGATCTTCTCTGTACCAATCACTATTGGGGGGCGTCCTCTCCAAGTGGGTCAACGTGGGCTCGGGGTGCTTTCAGGGAAAATGAGTGTCTGTGGTCTCATGAAAGTCCAGACGTCATGATGATGTTGTGAATACTGACCCCAATCCCATCACTGTCTCTCACAGATGCCCCAATATCTCCAGCCATCACTGTTTCTCACAGACACCCCAATATCTGCACCTCATCACTGTCTCTCACAGACACCCCAATATCTCCACCCCATCACCGTGTCTCGCAGACACCCTAGTATCTCCGCCACATCACTATGTCTCACAGACACCTCAATATTTCCACCCATCACTGTCTCTCCCAGACATGCCAATATCTCCACCCCATCACTGTGTCTCATAGACACCCCAATATCTCCACATCACTCTCTCACAGACACCCCAATATCTGCACCTCATCACTGTCTCTCACAGATACCCCAATATCTCCAGCCATCA